CTCTGGGATATATGCTCAGGGGAGTTTGCTGGGTAATCACATGTTTAGTGTCCCCCCCCCCCCCCCCCCCCAGAAACTGCTACACTATTTTCCAGAGTGTCTGTACCATTTTGTATCCTACCAGCAATGTATGAGTGGTCTAGTTTCTTTCCATCCTCGGTGGAAATTGGTGGTGTCACTATTTTGTATTTTTGCCATTCTGATAAGTGTGTGGTGATATCTCATTATGGTTTTAATTTGTGTTTCCCTAATTGCTAATCACATTGAACATGTTTTCATGTGCTTATTTGCCAACTGCACATCTTCTTTGATATAATGTCTCTGTGCTTTTGGTGTCAAGTCTACTTTTTTATCTAGATCCTGAAGACTTTATCCCATCCCCCTCCCCCCAGTTTTATAGTTTCATTTTTCATATTAAACATTTAAGTCCATGGTCCATTTTAAGTTAGTATTTTGTATAAAGTGTTAGACTTGGGTAGAGGCTTACTTTTTTCCTCTGTCCTTTGGATAGCCGGTTGCTCCAGCATCATTTGTTGAAAAGGCTGACTTTCCTCCATTGGATTGCCTTTGCACCTTTGTCAGAAATCACTAGGCCATACTTTTGTAGAGCTATTTTTGGATTCTTTGTTCTATTGATCGATATGTCCATCTCTTTGGCAGTGCCACATGGTTTTGATTACATTATCTATGTAATAAGTGTTGAAATCAGGTAAAATAATTTCAACCCCCCTTTTCTTTTCAGAACTGTTTCGGCTATTCTAATTCTTTTGCCTTTCCACATAAATTTTATTTTTTTTTAAAGATTTTATTTATTTGAGAGAGAGAGGTAGTGTATGTGAGAGAGAGATCACAAGCTGGGGGGAGGGGTTGAGGGAGAAGCAGACTCCCTGCTGAGCAGGGTGCCCGACAGGACTCGATCCCAGGACCCTGGGATCATGACCTGAGCAGAAAGCAGATGCCCAACTGACTGAGCCACCCAGGTGTTCTCCACATAAATTTTAGAATAATCTTGTTGATACAAAAATTTTTGCTGGGATTTTGGTAGGAATTGCATTAAACTGGGCTATCAGATTGGGGAAAATTGACATCTTTACTATGTTTTTCTATCTATGCACATAGTATATCTCTTGTTTTGTATTTGTTTATAAGATGGTCAGTCAGGACTGGCCACCAAAAGAGACAGAGGAGAGGCTCAGGAAAATAAAGTTTATTATATTCACAGGTCCTTAGGGACAGGTGTGGCATGCCACAGGGCCACATGGAAAAATACTACAGTGATTAGGAGGCAGAAGATGGCAGCAAGGGAAATGCTTAAAGCCATGGCCTTTATTGGGGTTTCCACAGGAAAGGCAAAGGAGGGGTGAACAGTTTAGGATTGGGTTGTTTGAGTAACTTCAGCAGTGTTTGGGCTATAGGGATAGTCTCTAATTGGGTGGTAACTGGCCCTGGGATGATGAAGGCAGAAGAATAGTGCCTCCTGGGGTGTATGGGCCAGATAGAGGAGTGTCAGGGTCCGGATTGGCAAGTTTGCCTATCAAAGACATAGTTAATCTGAGCCTTTGCTTTCTCTAAGAATTGGCTAGCCTTGGGAGGAGGGTCAGTCTCTCCCCAGTCAGAAAGGTCATAATTACAGAAAATACAATACACACACAGTCATCTCTCCATTTATTAAGATCTTCTTTGATTTCTTTTAAAGAATATTGTGTAGTTAAGCATATAGATCCTATACATGTTTTGTTAGACTTATATGTAAGTATTTAATATTTGCAGTGATTGTAAATGGCATTTTTAATTTAAGTTTCCATGTGTTCATTACTTATATGAAGAAATACAGTTAGTTTTTGAATGCTGATATTTTATCCTGTCACCTTGCCAGATTCACTTATAAGTTATAGTAGTTTGTTTCTGTAGATTCTTTGGTATTTTCTGTGAAGACAATCATGTCATCTGCAAATAATTTTCTATTTCATATTGGGTGGGTTGTGATAGTTTGTGTTTTCTAAGGGGTTGGTCCATTTTGTCTAAGTTGCCAAATTTGTGTGTGTAGAGTTAGGTCCTTTTGATGTCTGCTCATTTTCTGCCTACTTGTTTTATCAGTTATTGAGAGAAGGGTGTTGAAGTCTGCAACTATAACTGAGGGTTTGTTTCTTTTTATAACTTTGTCAGTTTTTGGTTCACATATTTTACAGCTGTTTTGTTAATGATGCATGCACATTTATGATTGGTATATTTTATTGGTGGATTGACCCTTTTATTATTATGTAATTTTCTTTGCTCTGAAATCTATGTTATGTGATATTAACATATACATTCCTGTTTTGCTTTAATGCCATATATATATACACACACACATACATGAATGCATGTATATATACGCATATATACATGTATATGTATATACATTCATGTGTGTATACATACCTACACACATATATACATGTATATGTATGTACATACATGTATATATGTTATATATTACTTTCAATCTGCCTATATCACTATCTTTGAGTTTCTTGTAGATAGCATAAAGTTGGGTCATATTTTTAAATGAACTCTGTCTTTTAATTGTTGTATTTAGACTATTACATTTAATATAATCATATATTTGCTATTAAGTCTACCATTTTGTTTCTTCTTGCTGTTTTTCATTTTCTTTTCACTTTTGTATGAGTTACTGAACATTTTGATTTTTTATAGTATTTTAGAGTGTATTTGTATAGATTTTTACTGGTCCTAGATATTATATATATACATAACATACATATGTGTATAATTTTACATAACCTATCATTTTATTAGTTCAAGTGAAGTATAGAAAACTTACCTTCCTTTTCAACCTTTTAATTTCCCTCATTTTTATATAATTGTCTTAAATATGTCCTCTAAATTCATTTAGAACCAAATCAGACATTATTATAATATTTGTTTCAACCATCAAACATAGTTTAGGAAACCTAAAAGGAGAAGGAAAACCTGTTATATTTACCTATATTCTTCTCATGTTCTTGTTTCCTTCCTGTTAATTCTAAGGTTCTTTATCATTTAGTTTCTCTTTGGAATACTTCCTTTAGCTGTTCTTTTGGAGTAGGAGTGCTGGTGACAAATTTCTGTGTTTGTAGGTTACAAAAAAAAAAAGTCTGAATGCTGTTAATTTCAGATGGTTCATGTAATGCTAGTGGATGATCAGTAAAGGTCAAGGAAAAGGAAGACTGTAGGAGAAGTGACCTGCTGCAAGGGCTAATGTGATTTATATGTTTCCCTTTCCTTCACACTCATTGTGTGTGAGGCAGTGAGTGGTGGGGGTTACACATTTTGGTATATCCATTCAGGGGAATACGACTCAGCAATAAAAAGAACAAACTATTGATATATGCTGCAACATGGGTGACTCTCAAATGCATTATGCTAAGTGAACAGAGCAGACCAAAAAGAATACATAGGGCATGATCCCATTTACATAAAATATGAATTAATGACAAAGTAAATCAATGGCTGTCTGGGGAAAGAATGAAAGGGAGTGAGATGGAGAGATTACCAAGGGAACTTGAAGTAACATGTGGAGGTGTTGTTATCTTGACTGTGATGATGATTTCAAAGATGCGTATGTATGTCAAATGTACCCAGTGGTACACTTTAAATATATGCAGTTTATTCTGTGTCAGTTATAACTTAATAAAGCTGTTTAAAAAAAATGCCACATCAACAAGTGTTCCTCTAGTGCATGGCTGTTGTGCAGCAGCCCCACATGCAGGTCCAACCCGTCTACTCTTGTTTACAGAGGGAGGCCCATGATCACATGCTTGGATGTTGTGACAGTGTTAGATGGCTCTGGAAGTTTTTAAATGTTTACTCTCAGTTTTCTTTTCTTTTGTTTCTTTTCTTTTCTTTTGTTTCTTTCCTTCCTTCCTTCCTTCCTTCCTTCCATCCTTCCTTCCTTCCTTCCTTCCTTCCTTCCTTCCTTCTTCAAGATTTTATTTATATTATTTGACAAAGAGCTCAAGCAGGGGGGAGTCACAGGGAGAGGGGGAAGCAGGCTCCTCGCTGAGTTAAGAGCCTGATGCAAGACTCAGTCCCAGGACCCCGAGATCATGACCTGAGCTGAAGGCAGACACTTAACCGACTGAGCCATCCAGGCGCCCTGTTATTCTCAGTTTCTGTACTTAAATCTTTGTTGACAGTAAGAAACCGTTTTATCTGTTTTAGAGCAGTTTGTTTCTTCTGTTTTTCATTTTCTTTTTACTTTTGTATGAGTTACTGAACATTTTGGAATCACACTGTTTTAGAGCAGTGCTACCACACTACTTTATATACATTTTTTCCATCTCAGAATGGGGCCATTCTATATGTATCATTCTGAACCCATTTTATTCTACTTTATGGTCACACTGTGATTTGATTAACTTGCATTCTGGTATATGAATTCTGGTGATGAGTGTATGTATTTTCTTAGCATGACTCTCAGGAAATTAACTGGATCTGATAAAATATCCTGATGAATTTCAAAGTGGATTATATTGAAACTTCGGTATATTTCCTACTCTCAAAATTTTAGAGGAATCATTTAAAAGTTTCATGTAGTGTAAGAAATTTTCAAACTGGGGTGTGCTGGAGGATAGTAGGCTCTGGCATGGTGAAATCTGTGCTCGGATCCTGGCTATCTGAGTGAACTGGACAGAGACCCGCTGTTTGTCTTTCATCCTTCATTTCCTGTCTTTAGAGATGGAGCAGCAGTTGCCTCATCAGATCAGCAATACAGTGAAAGTGTGTGGTAACTGACAAGTGATATATGTATGTGCATTTCTTTCACTGGATGTATTTTTACCTTCATCTGGGACAGTTACCTTTTTTTTTTTTCAGGATTAAGACCCATATTTTGAAAATAATTTGGAAATTAGGCTTTAAAAATGGAGGGTGAATTTTATAGAGTGTCTTTTCTTTTATATATAGGCAAAAGAACTGAGAGATATATATGAACTAATATACCTTTTTTTCCTTTTCAGGCAGTTACTATCTTAACTGAATTAATTAGGGAAAACTTCAGAAACAGTAAATTAAAACAGTGCCTCTTACCAACCCTTGGGGAGCTGATCTACCTTGTAGCCACCCAGGTGAGACCATCTGATTAACTCTATTGCTCTTTGACCTGTTCTGACAAATCCTGGCTGACAAGTGTTAATATCCTATAAAAGTTGTTTTGACTTTGCCTCTTAGAGCATACCTAAGGAACCTTGGGGAAAGTTTACCTCTGAAATATTAAGTTTATCAGTGTCTTTATGTCTGTCCCTATCCTTGTCTGTCTGTCATGTTCCCTCTCTCCCATTGCCTCCTAGGAAGTATAGGAAATTCTCAAGCCATATTTAAAAACCAATTGACCGGGGCGCCTGGGTGGCTCAGTTGGTTAAGCGACTGCCTTCGGCTCAGGTCATGATCCTGGAGTCCCGGGATCGAGTCCCGCATCAGGCTCCCTGCTCAGCGGGGGTCTGCTTCTCCCTCTGACCCTCTTCCCTCTCGTACTCTCTCTCTCTCAAATAAATAAATAAAATCTTAAAAAAAAAAAACAAAAAAAACCCAATTGACCAAAAGTCCCCCAAACTACTTTCTAGATTGCTACCATCTTTGACTCCTTCAAGAGGAGGCCATTGGTTCTTTGTGTATAAAAGCTTCCTTTCAGTTAAAAACACTACTTTGTGCAAATAGAGCTCTTAACATGGCCATGAGAGTTTGTGACTACAGAATTTGACTTATTTCTTAAGTTACAATATTGAAGTGCTATTGAATTCAACAAAAAATTAGTATTTCTTTTGTGTTTTTTCTGAATATTATTGAATTGATAATGATAAATTATGAGTTATTCATTTGATACTGAGGTTTTTTTTTTATTAGTTTCAGAGGTAGAATTTAGTGATTCATCCGTTGCGTATAACATCCAGTGCTCATTACATCAGGTGCCCTCCTTAATGCCCATCACCAATTATCCCCATCCCTCCACCCACCTCCCCTCCAGCAACCCTGTTTGTTTCCTAGGGTTCAGCATCTCTTATGGTTTGCCTCCCACTCAATTTTCATCTTATTTTTCCTTCCCTTCCTTTACGTTCATCTGTTTTGTTTCTTAAATTCCGTGTACGAGTGAAAACATATGGTTTTTATCTTTCTCTGACTGACTGCTTGCTTAATACCCTCCAGTTCCATCCATGTTGATGTAAGTGGTAGGTATTCATCCTATCTGATGGCTGAGTAATATTCCATTGTATATGTATACCACATGTTCTTTATCCATTCATCTGTCAGTGGATGTCTGGGCTCTTTCCATAGTTTGGCTGTTGTGGACATTGCTGCTATAAACATTGGTGATACTGAGTTTTAAAGAAGTACTGGTAAGTTGTAGTTGATTAGGAAGTTCTCTCACTGTATTTATGAACGTGTCCTAGATCTTGCTCAAATGTTGTATAACCTGAGTATCTTTAGTATCTAAATTAAACTGACTTTCTACCATAATTATTATAAAACATCATTATTTAAAATCATTTAGCTGCATAATTAGTGGTAGCTGGTACAACAAATCTGTCCTCCTCCTTTTTTTTTTTTCATAAATGTTTTGGCTATTCTTGGCCCTTTGCACATTGGAATCAGCTTGTTCAGTTCTGCAAATCATTTAAAGAAATTGCATTGACTATGCAGATCAATTTGGGAAGTACTGTTACCTTGATAATTTTGAGTCTTCTGCATATTTGGAATTGTACTGAACCCATGTGTCAGGAAAGTATTGGTATGTTGATGGTATTTTGTCTTCCAGTGCATAAAAATGGCACTTCTATATATTTCTATTTTTAGAAATACTTTCATTTAAGTTAGTTCATTCTATTCATAAAACTTTTGTACATCTATCTTTGGTTGAATTTATTCTTAGGTAATTTTATATTTTGATGAGACAACACATTCATGAAGCTAGAAAACTAGGAAGTCAAGAAAAGTATATGGGGGGGCGCCTGGGTGGCTCAGTCGTTAAGTGTCTGCCTTCAGCTCAGGTCACGATTTTAGAGTCCTGGGATCGAGCCCCGCATTGGGCTCCCTGCTCAGTGGAGAGACTGCTTCTCCCTCTCCCTCTGCTGTTCCCCCTGCTTGTGCTCTCTCTGTGTCTGTCTCTCTCTGTCAAATAAATAAATAAAATCTTAAAAAAAAAAAAAGGTATATAGGGAAAGTGGCTTTCCTATTTTTGTTCCCTATAAGCCTCATTCCCCAGTCTAATCACATCCCTACTTGTATTAACAAAGTTACTTTTGTATGTATGAGCAAACAGACATGTAGATTCTTATTTTGATTCATTTTTATGTCCAATTAGGACAACTTGCTTTTTTTCTCTTAATAGTTATACACTCCTTAAATTTATTTAGGGGCGCCTGGGTGGCTCAGTCGGGTAAGTCGGTTAAGTTGTGATCCTGGGGTCCTGAGACCGAGTTCCTCATTGGGCTCCCTGATCAGCAGGGAGTCTGCTTCTCCCTCTCCCTCCTCCCCCTTGCTTGTGCTCACTCTCTCTCTCTCTCTCTCAAATAAAAGAAAATTACTTGAGGGAGAGAGAGCATTAGCAGGGGGAGGAGCAAAGGGAGAGGGACAAGCAGACCCCCCACTGAGCATGGAGCCTGACACAGGGCTCCATCCTACAGCCCTGAGATCATGACCTGACCTGAAGGCAGACGCTTAATCAAATAAGCCACCCAGGTGCCCTAGTAGTTGTACACTTTTAAGAATAGCCTATGGACTGACTGAGCCAACCAGGCATAGCCTATGGAAATACATACATTGGAGTTATTTCTTAATTAATGAATATATTTCTTAATCAGTACTTAGGGCTCCCACCTCCCTTCCTCTCTCCCTCTTGTCTCTCCTCACCTGTGCCAAGTTTGGTGAAAGGCAGTTTTACTTTACCTTGAGTGGGGCCTTGACATCAAAGCTCAGACTGACCAAGTTTTGCAGGCCCTTAGAGTAAAAGAAAGCTCAGTGCTCAGTTGAGCTCTCACGCTTGCGATTATCTAATTTTTGGTTTGATTCTTTGTTTTCCTGTCACATCTCTGATACATTGTAAGAATGTAGAATACAAGGTGTTGCTTTTATTAGAAGAGGGGTCAGGTACCTAGTCTGCCATCTAATCAGGGTTGAGAGTCTACTCATGTAAGTGGCATGCAATCAACTGCACATGTTTAAAGATTACAATTTGATCAATTTTGATATATGTATACACCTGTGAAACCATCACCACAGTTCAGATAATGAACATATCCATCACCTCTAAAAGTTTCTCCACACCCTTGTAATCCCTCCCTCCTGTCCCTCTTCCTGCTCCCAGGCAACAGCTGATTTGCTTTCTGTCATATAGACTAGTTTGCATTTTCTAGAATTTTATAAATGGAATCATACAGAATCCTATTTCTATTTGCTTCGAAAAGTAGGTCTAGAGAATCATTTTCTTTGGTACGTGTTTTAATTGGATATAAGCTAAGGCTATTTTCATAAAGGGATGATTCTGTGGCATTTGACTACAACTTAGGATAGCAAACTAGAAAAGGAAGTTATGTCCCTGCATCCATAAAAATCAATACCTTTTCATGAGATGAGGGCTTTTGTGGAATTGTCATTTTAAATACACGTGAACCTTAAAATCTCAGGTCAATGCTGACATAGACTAACCTGAAGCGAGAGTGTATAATACAGAGACCTAAGCCCTGTCCTGTTGGCTGTCTGGGAGCAGCCCAAGGTGACAAGCTTGAGGATGGAAGACCAGAGTAGATTCTGCAGAGAACATTAGGAGGCAATACATTTATGGTTTATGTATTTTTTTCTTTTATCAAGGATACCTCCCACCTTGAGCCCAGGTATTCCTATTTTGTCATTTTTTTTTTTTTTTGCCCAGCCATTAATGATCTTTCACCTGGACTGTTGTAAGAACTCTTAGATGGTGTCCTTGCTTTATTCTTGTGTCCATTACAGTCTATTTTCCAGACATTAGCCAGAGTGAGCCTGTTAAAAACACATGAGAGAGTACGGCGTCCTTCCTCAGAGCCCTCCAGTGCTTCTTGTCTTGCTTGTTGGCACCACCAAATCCCACCATTTGCTGTGGTGGCCACTGGGGGCTGCCTTCCCAGTGCCTGTGTGACCTCAGCTCTCACTGCTGTCCTGCTGTCTTCCTCTTCCCGCCACATTGACCTCCTCACAGCTCTTTGAACCCGCCATGCCATATTCCTGCCTCAACGCCTTTGCACTTACTGTTCCTCCTGCTTGCAGTGATTTCACACCCTCCCCCCAACAGATGTTTGCGTTTTCTCTGTTCAGACCCCTTCGGAGAGCCTTTTCCTGGCTCTGTGCAGTATGAGTGTGCTGAGGCTTTAGCAGGAGGTGAGGAAGTTGGGAAAGGCAATGTGAAATGAGAATGGTTGTGAAAAGTTGTGGGGGGGGTGCTGGGGGCTGCAGGGGGCCCTGTTTGAAAGATGGGGACAGTTAGCCTATTCTAGCAGAAATGGAAAGGACCCGGTGGACAGGACTTTGAAAATTTAGGAGTGGTATGGGATAGTCCATAACCTAATGACCCTGAAGGAGGCAAGATATGAATGGGATCCTGAGCCCACATGGAATGGTGGAGGATCCTCTCCTGGTATAACCACTGGGTGTAAGTAGCAGACAGCTTCAGGGGTAGGAACACTGGGAGCTCCTTTCTCACCACTTCCATGATCTCTGAGGAGGAGGAAAGCAGGTGCAGTGGTGGGAGGATCCCAGGTGTGAAGTCCTTTCAAAGAAGGAATTGGTCATAGAGAGGAACGAATGGGAGGCTGCAGAGTGATATTGAAGGTCCCTGGGCTTTCAAAGCCTAAGTCATTCATGGACTCTCTGTGTTCTAGGTGCCTGAGCACAGACCTGGAGAAGACAAGCCACTGGCTCCCTCCAGGGTTGGTTTCCCCAGAGAGGGGAAAAGGGCATATTGGAGGGTGAGGTGTTCAGGCTTTTGGCAGGAGTGATTGAATGGTAGACCACGGCATCTAAGTGGCCGGGAGGGAGGGTAGGTGATACATTACAGACAGATTGTGGTAGATCAGGCGCCTGGGTGGCTCAGTCGTTAAGCCTCTGCCTTCGGCTTGGGTCATGATCCCAGGGTCCTGGGATCAAGCCCCGCATCAGGCTCCCTGCTCAGCGGGAAGCCTGCTTTTCCCTCTCCCACTCCCCCTGCTTGTGTTCCTGCTCTTGCTCTCTCTCTCTGTCAAATAAATAAATAAAATCTTAAAAAAAAAAAAAAAGATTGTGGTAGATGTTTTGAATAAGTGAGCTGGAAAGGAGGAAAATTGTGTTTGGAAGTTAAATTGGGTGCTGAATTAGTGATTTTTAAGCTGGAGCAGCAGCTTGGGATGATAATGTCTCGATTATGACTGAAATTTTTTAAAAAAGATTTTATGTATTTATTTGAGAGAGAGTGTGTGCACACGAGAGCATGGGGGAGCAGAGGGAGAAGCAGACTCCCTGCTGAGCAGGGAGCATGTGGGGCTCGATCCCAGGACCCTGAGATCATGACCTGATGGAGTCAGATGCTTAACTGACTGAGCCACCCAAGCACCCCAGCTGTGTGGAATTTTGTGATTAAGTGAGGATTTGAAAAAAAACAAACAAACCCCAAAACAGAAAGAAAAAAAGTGAGGATATGGTTTTAATGGGTCGTAAGTCTCATCGTAAGTATAAAAAACATTTGGATCAGTAAGGTACCAGTTCTAAAATTTGGACAATCTTAAATATTTTCTCTTAACAGTAACTAATTTCTTTTGCTTTAAAGAGATTAATTTTTCCCACCTTTCTCTGTGGTACCTGATTTATATTTTGATTTTATTTGATACACTGCAGGAGGGTTTTAGTGGTTATTACCCTAATTTGGTTCGTGAGAGAATCATTGCCGATATCATTAAAATTAGTGGACCTGCTAATCACATTTGCTTATTTTTTTTTTTAACACATTGTCTTATTAGGTAACATACTCTCTTTTACTTGTACTTATGGGTCATCCTGAATATTCCTCAGAACTGTGTATTCCATGCCTTCAAATCGTTTCAGATAGTGTAATAACTTTTAGGTAGGAATAACTGTATTATCATCTACAATTATCAACAGAGTAGTTTCTCTACCAACTGGATCATATTGTCATTTCTCACTTCTTTTCGTCTGGTTTCTGATGAAGGGGTCTGATGAACATCACATAGAATATGATGAGAAAGAGAAATACCTTGTATGTACAATTTAGTAAAAGACCCCCTAATGAGGGCAGAACTGTCAGGTAATCTGTAATACTTTAAATAGAATATTAAGAAGTTTTAGATAGTTTGTGTATTTGAAACTGCCTTTTTCTTGAACGGGTTAATATCTTTTGTGCTGTTAGCTTCACGGCCTTTCCTTCCACTTCATTTTAGGAAGAAAAAAAGAAGAACCCTAGAGAATGCTGGGCTGTCCCCTTGGCTGCATACACGGTGCTAATGAGGTGCCTTCGGGAAGGGGTAAGGCTCCTTTGTTGTCCTCTGTAGACACCCGCAATTGTAATAACCCTTCAGGCACTGTGTGCGGATTGTAGCCTGCAGCAGTGAGGAGCCTGTCAACCAAGTATTGCTCTTGAATTTAAATAATCCCGACAAGCCACTGTGAGCAAGTGACCTACAGCGGAGCACGTGTAAAAATGAACTAGCTTTGTCCTTCACTTTCAAAAATGTCTTGCCTTTTAAAAGATGATAGCAAGCACAAACATCATAAGTAGCTTTTTTACTAACATATTCTTAGTCCTCCCCTGCTTTTAAACTTACTGATACACCAGTTTCATAAGCAAGGTGTATGCAGGGAATTTTCTGTGAGCCTCAAAAGCCCCATGATTATCTTGTCAGGTTGCCATTTTGCAGTTCAGAAACAGGAAGCTCCCACTAGTATCCATTGATTTTAATATTAAGTAGTGTTTATTATGTGATTTTTTTTTTTTTTAATTTATTCACTGTCCTTCTCATGCCATTGTTAATGGCTGAAAACCAGCCAGCCGGCCAACCAACCAAGCAACCAGGATGTGTAGCTCCTGTGTGTTACAATGTAAAGGATTTAGTAGCTGACCTAAAAGGTTCGCAATTTCTGTTTCTTTAAACCATTTGACATCGTTTCACCCAAGGCAAAGCCATAGGTGAAAAACATTCCTTAAGGAATGAAAAAATATGTCACAATAAACATCTTCCTTTTGAGTTCATTACTTGCTGCATTGTATGGAAATGGAATGATGTTGCAAGTGGAGAAGAGCTCTGTGAGATTTTACCCCTAGTGAGCCAGAAGTGAAGTTTGAACACTCCCAGCCTGTAGGGTTGAATGCATTGTCAGCCCTCGTTATGGGATATGAATAAAGCGGGTAAATTGTACTTTATCAATAATACAAGAATTAAGTCATGTTTATCTGTAGTCACAAGACATGCTTTAGTTTATTGTTTAAGGCCTCAAGCTAGGCACACTTGGGGGCACACAGATGAAGAAGGTAAATATTCTCTTCACACACTGATCCCACCTCTTGCAACGAAGTGGAATATGTTGTGTATAAATATGAAAGAACAAAATATGGGAACTCAAGGGAGAAAGGAGTCTTCTAGAAACTTTCTTAATAGTGTGAAGAAATTTTAAAAACTTTGTATTTTAATTTTTAAAAGTTAGATTAATGTGTAGTAAAAGATGATTAGTTCTAGTCCATGGGGTTATATCCTTTATTGAATATCTTCTCCCCACCCCTCCCTGTGTTTATCACTCTACATGTAATATGAAGAAGAATGTCTGATATCCATGTATATTGTTATTAAATAATTATTGTTAATATTTATAATGACATTTTGTATTTTAGTAGCACACGTACCTTTCAATGTCTTGGTATGTATAACAGGTCTTGTGTATTTTTCATGAAGAGGGAAGGAAGTCCAGGACTCTCTAATTTATGAAAATATCTGAAAAGCAGTTAGATATGTGCTTGGACAGCACATGCCTGTGTCCCTTGCTTTTCAAAAGTTCACGTTACACCACTTCACTTTTACGAAAGACCCATGCTAGCACTTGTTTTCTCTAATTGAAAGAAATGGAAAGAGGATTTCTGCTTCTACGAAAAAAAGCAAAAAGCAAAAATAGCATTCAGGGTTTGTTTTGCAACGAGTTGTTACACAGCAGGCTTCCCCCGGCCCTGCAAGGCAGGGAGAGCAGCCCCACCATGGTCCTTCCTTTCCCCGGAACTACACTCAGCATCTCAGCATCAAGCCACTATGGCTTTGAACCGTGTTGTTGAGCACCTGAGCTTTGTCTTGATGTATTTTCTGCGTCCGTTAACAAGATGTGTCCTAAGGTATCAGAGAAGCCTGAGAGAGGTTATTTTTGGGGTCTGGGAATGCTCAAAATCTTGTCTATTTATGTAATTGCTCTTCGCTTTACACCACTGGGGCTTAGGAAAGGTTTCACAGAAACATGGTACTTTTGGATAGTGGGGGCAGCCTGAACTCTAACATTGTCTCTGTAAGACAGATAAATTAAGGGATGATTATATTCCCCCTAAAAAAGGGTTTCTGTTTTTATAAAAATAACTCAATTGTAGCAGTTCTTTAACATATAGGTCTAATGTCTTTAGGACATAGTTGAGGGTAAATAATTTTTAAGCCTCCTATTTTCAACAATTAAAAACTTTTTTCCAGGTAGGAAAACTGTTTTCCCAGCACCTACTGGTATTTCTGAATGTAGGTTCTTTTTTGAAATTTACGTCATAAAAGAGCATGTGAAATTTATGTGTATGCTTATATGTATGGTTAAAAGCACACACTTTGATACACCCACTCTCTTGGGGGAAAAAAAAAGGCTGGTGGCTTAGAGAATTCTTCTCTGTCCCTCTTGGATTGCAGCTTACTTTTTCTTTCAAGGAGTAGCTATTATTCTGACTTTGTGATAAACATTCCCAAGTTTTTCTTTATCGTGTTTCCATCTTTGTTTGCTAGATATTTCTTTTCTGCCCTTCCTTTTCCTTTTCCCATTTCCCCTTTCCTTTTTGAGAGGGAGGGACAGAGGGAGATGGAGAGAGAGAATCTTAAGCAGGCTCTACACCCAGCCTGATGTGGGGCTCGATCTCAGCCCTGAGATCATGACCTGAGCCAAAATCAAGAGTTGGGACGCTTAACCAACTGAGCTACCCAGGTGCCCCTGTATTGCTAGATATTTCATTGACTGGTTTTTTTTTTTTTTTTTTTTAAAGATTTTATTTATTTTTTAGAGAGCCAGCAAGAGAGAAACAGCATGAGAGGGGAGAGGGTCAGAGGGAGAAGCAGGCTCCCCGCTGAGCCGGGAGCCCGATGTGGGACTCGATCCCAGGACCCCGGGATCATGACCTGAGCCGAAGACAGACGCTTAACCATCTGAGCCACCCAGGCGCCCCTCATTGACTGGTTCTTAAGGTTAAACTTCATATAAATAAATGGCACCAAATCCTGTGGAGACTTAATTCTTTTGCTCTAATGTTAGGTCAAGATTGATACATGCTAATTGTGAAAACTGTTGTTCATTTATACTACTGTGTGTTAAGTTGGAATATACCTCAGTATACACAGACACACATGTGTATCGGTTTATACTCCCACCAATAGGGTATGGGAGTACACCTGAACCCACATCTTGCACATTTGATATAGTCAGACTTTAAGTTTTTGTCAATTTCATGGGGGCATTAATTATTTTCTCATAATAGTTTTAATAATCATTTTTGTGATTACTAATAGGATCACAATCCTTATTTATTTATCTTTTTTTTTTTTTTGGTTTTCCACCATCATTAAGATGGTCTATTCCATTTTCTTCTAAAAGCTTTATTATTTTCCCTTTTTCTATTTAGAACTTTATTTGCAATTGTTTTGTGTGCGTGGTGCTATGTATGGGTAGTTTTATTTTTAAAAGTAATATGGGTATGCTGTTCTCCCAGTGCTATTTAATGAGAAGGTCACCCTCTCTCCACTGCTCTGCAGTGTCCCCTGTCATATCAGTGTCTCTTCCTGGGCTCTATTTGTTTCTGTTGGTCTATCATCTGTCTTTGTGCCATACTATCCAAATGAATATTTTCTATTGTTTAATAATTTTCAAGTATATGGGGAGTTTTCCCCTACTAACATAATCTTTTTTTTTTAAGATTTTATTTGAGAGAGAGAGAGCACGAGAAGTGGGGAGGGGGAGAGGGAGAAGCAGACTCCCTGCTGAGCAGGGAACCTGATGTGTGGGACTCAATCCCAGGACCCTGGGATCATGACCTGAGCCAAAGGCAGATGGCCAACTGACTGAGCTACCCAGGTGCCCTAATGTAATCTTTTTTTTTTAATATTTATTTATTTTTTTTATTCTTATGTTAATCCCCATACATTACATCATTAGTTCTAGATGAAGTGTTCCATGATTCATTGTTTGTGCATAACACCCAGTGCTCCATGCAGAATGTGCCCTCCTCAATACCCACCACCAGGCTAACCCATCCTCCCACCCCCCTCCCCTCTAGAACCCTCAGTTTGTTTTTCAGAGTCCATTGTCTCTCATGGTTCGTCGACCCCTCCGATTTCCCCCGCTTCATTCTTCCCCTCCTACTACATTCTTCTTCTTCTTTTTTTTTTTTTCTTAACATATATCGCATTATTTGTTTCAGAGGTACAGATCTGAGATTCAACAGTCTTGCACAATTCACAGCGCTTACCAGAGCACGTACCCTCCCCAGTGTCTATCACCTAGTCACCCCATCCCTCCCACCCCACCCCCCACTCCAACAACACTCAGTTTGTTTCCTGAGATTAAGAATTCCTCATATCAGTGAGATCATATGATACATGTCTTTCTCTGTTTGACTTATTTCACTCAACATAATACCCTCCAGTTCCATCCACGTCATTGCAAATGGCAAGATCTCATTCCTTTTGATGGCTGCATAATATTTCATTGTATATATATACCACATCTTCTTTATCCAGTCATCTGTCGATGCACATCTTGGCTCTTTCCACAGTTTGGCTATTGTGGACATTGCTGCTATAAACATCGGGGTGCACGTACCCCTTCGGATCCCTACTTTTGTATCTTTGGGGTAAATACCCAGTAGTGCAATTGCTGGGTCATAGGGTAGCTCTATTTTCAACTTTTTGAGGAACCTCCATACAGTTTTCCAGAGTGGCTGCACCAGCTTGCATTCCCACCAACAGTGTAGGAGGGTTCCCCTTTCTCCGCATCCCCGCCAACATCTGTCATTTCCTGACTTGTTAATTTTAGCCATTCTGACTGGTGTGAGGTGGTATCTCATTGAGGTTTTGATTTGGATTTCCCTGATGCTGAGCGATATTGAGCACTTTTTCATGTGTCTGTTGGCCATTTGGATGTCTTCTTTGGAAAAATGTCTGTTCATGTCTTCTGCCCATTTCTTGATTGGATTCTTTGTTCTTTGGGTGTTGAGTTTGATGAGTTCTTTATAGATTTTGGATACTAG